TTCTTACATTCAATTTTGGGATTAAAAACACATGATGTACAGGAAGATACTAGTAAGTTTGAAGAAAATACATATGTAATCATTTACATGATATATAACGTGATATCCACCTGCCGTTATCCATTATCCTGGGTTCTTGCTGATGATTACCCTACAAGGTAGAGAAGTTTATAAAGATATTTCCATTAGGAACGATTTAATGATTGAACGTCCAAAAACATATATATGTACATATGTATATAGTCTAACGGCTTCTCCGGACAGACATCTTAACTTTTTGTTCTGGGTCTGTCTTATCTCGTTTAGCTACATATAATACACGTTTGAGAACTCAGCGGTGTCCTATGTGTCCTGAGCCAAAAAACTATATATGTAAAAATGTATGTATATAAGCAACTAAAAGCTGTTTGAGTATATTTTTACATTTTTATGTGTGTACATTGGGAAAAACAAAAAATTATATTTTAGGCATACATATACATATACATGTAGTATTGTATTTGCGATAAAAACTAGTTGGAACGTTGTGAGACGCTTCGAACGCATCACAACTGTTACACAAATTATTCAGTCAGGATATATATCCTGCTATGCAAACATTAAGCGTAGAACGTCGGCACATCCATTCTCGCTATCATTTTTCAATATGTCGGCAAACAATGATCAGGCAATTGCCGATCTTTTTGCACAATTTTCTCAAACCACCTATTCCAAGGAAAACTACCCAGGTCATATGTATCCATATAGTTTACCAAGGTTCATCATCTTTAAGTTTTAATGTTTGCTTATACAAATTATTTGTCGCTATTGGTTCGGTTTCCAGTCCGAACACATCACTATACTTGGTGCATAATTCTGTTAGTTGACTTTTTAATTGTTCTGAACAATTTTTCTTTAATTTTTAAAGTACTTGTTCGTTTCAATTTTCCGCATAAGTATTATGAATGAATAAGTCTGTTAACTTTTCATATTGTATTTTGTTTACTTTGACCAATTGGTCGAAATTAGTTGTGTTTAGAAGGCGTATGCATTTTTGGATGCTGCTATTGTATTTGCAACATAAATTCCATTATGTATTTCTTGATTAGGAACGAATATATAATCATTTAATGTACTAATGTCTATTTTTCGAATTACTTGGGATCTGGCTGGCAGAAGAACTGTATTGTTGCCAGCACTATATGTT